AACACAAGAGCAAATCAAATCTGGTTGTCAATAGAACAGTGTGAGAAGAAATGCTTGCGGCTGGAGAGATGGCTCAGCGGTTAAGAGCATGACTGTTCTTCGAGAGGTACAGAGTTCAACTCCCAGCAACCACATGGTGGCTCACAACCATCTGTAATGAGATTTGGTGCCCTCTTCTGCACTGCAGACAGAACACTCTCTACTCATAATAACTAAATAAAAAAAATGCATTTTTACTTAAGTTAGGGTGAAAAAACAAACCCTTAAAACCTGTTTCCACGGATACTTGGGTGCATATAGAGATAAGAGGTCAACTTCTGGTCCTATTTACTCCATTTTGAGAAATGATCTCTCACTGTCTAAAACTTGCCAAGAAGGCTAGGCTGGCTGACAGTGAGTCCAAAGTGTCCCTGCTTCCCCATTGCTGGGCTTTCAAGCATGTGTCACTGCTTATGGCTTTTTAAATGTGGATTCTGAGGGAGACTTGGGTCTGCATACTTGAGCAATAAAGTAATTTATAGACTGATCTACCTCCCCAGGCTAAAAGTCTTAGAAATAATTTCAAAAGTTCAAATTCAGGCTTCAATTTAAAAAAGCCATTTACCATAAAAAACCCCAAAACCAACCAACCAAAACGCCCCAAAAACCTACAGGCTTGAGAATAATTATAATTCAACTCTGCATTAAAAAAAAGTCATTGGAAATAAAAAAAAAAATCATGAGTGGCAGTCTCAGAAAGTACATAGTTCCCAAAGTGTAACACCATAAAGACATTTCATTTCTGAGTACCAAAACTATAGTTAACAACATCTTTCAAGTTAGCCCCACCATTAACTGCAAATTAGGATCTTTAAAAAATGTTACTTACCTCTATAAATTTGTTTAAGGTCGCATTGGTTGGATTGTGTGTAATAAGGAATCTCATGTTCTTGTATGTGACTTCCACAGGAGCAGGGCGGTTCATTCGAGCCATGTTAAGTTAGTTTTTAAAAAACACCCAGTAGGGTTATGAAAGAATTAAAAAATTGAATACAGAAATGACGCAAAAAAAAAAAAATCAAAAACAAACAAAAAAACCTCCAAACAACCTGAAGTCTACTTCAATATTCAATATATACTCCACTTGAAATTCTCAGTGCTTTGAGTATGAAATTGGGAGAAATGGGCAATGAAATGAACCTCCTAACAAGAAGCAGTGATTCTTCAATCCAGTAATACTGAGGCAATACAAAGGAAGTGCACTGAGGTTTACCCCATCCAGGTCTGAGCTCTTGTAAAATGCTCTTGCAGATTTCAATTCAACACGTCTGTGTCCAGGTTATCCACTCTTATGGGGGCTTCTTGGTGGAGTAGTAAAGAATTTCTACAGTTCACTTGTCTGCATAGAGGTCGTGCTGTGCCTGGCAGTAATCTCCACTGCCCTTCAGAAACTCCATAAATGTGTGACCAAGAACACCACAGAACTGCTGTTTAGAAGAAAAAGGAAGAAAGAGAGAAGAAAGTTATTTTCTAATTCAAAAGGAACATGTCATGCTTTCCCAGTAAAGTACACAACTATGCTCATCAAATTGACATCAACTTTTACTAGAATTATAAAATTCAAGGTGACTGCATTTTAAAAATCAATAGGCCTCCAGCATGCAGTCACAAGCGCATTAAAGTTGCTAATCAATCATTAAAAAATGTAAAAAGTCACTGCTACATTTGAAAGAATTCCCATATACACATTTATATACACATACATTTCATTAATTACTCCTCCTTTTAAGTTATTTTTAATGCTTGCTCAACCTATATACATTATTTTCTATATTGACTTACTGTTTACACACTAAATATAAACTTCATGTAGTTTGAAATTCTCAGTTTTTGCATAATTTACTGAACTCATTCAGAAACATTTATTTTAGCTGCTCACTAGTTCTGATTTTATATTGACTGCTTAAGCTACTGTGATAGAAGTAAGGAGATACCTGTTATATGGTCTTTCTACAAAGATAGTATAGGTATTTTTAATGCTATTATTTCAATAATTAGTCTTTACATTTTAGTCACTAATGAAGCCATGCCCACATTTCCCTTCTGTATTTTTTATCATCTCCTTGACATTTAAAAATAACTCATATACAATTATAGCTTTACAAGGCTACACCAGGTTCTAAGTGTAAGTAACCAAGTACTTCTCACAGTATGGAAAGGGACATGTCATTAAACTCTGGTGAAGTGTGTGTGAGGGTGTGATTCTATCCTGATGGGACTCATCTATCTCTAGGAATGCCAGGCCATCTTGTTTCCACAAACCATATCGCACTGAATTGTTGCTCTCTAAGTGAAACCATAAGAAACTTCTTGCTTAAAAACTAGTAACTCCTAAGAGCATTTATTTATACCTTTGTGTCATCTCTCAGGTTTCTAACTAAATTAGCTGTTATAAATACAATTTACTTAAGGGGGTCCTCAACCATAGTCATAAGACAAACTGTTTTCATATAAACACACATTTACCTTCTTCCTATTTTAAACTCCAATTTCGCTTATCTGCTCTAAAACTAAAACCCAGCTCAGATATGAAAAAGGGATTAGAAGAATTTGTTTGGGCTTTTTATAACGGTCTCAAACACAAGGTGACTCTTATTACCGACATAAGTACATTTCATTTTCCCTAAGTTCCTTTCTAAAAATTAAACCAGTTCCATATTGGCACCAAACAGTAAAGCAAATATTCACAGGGCATTTTTCTCAGAGTACGTGCATAAAAGCTTTTCAGAGACACTGATTAGAGACAGATGAACATTAACCAAATGCAGGTCCATCTACTCCAGGCAGTCTGGGTAGGCACTAAGGAATGCGCAAGAACAAGAGCACTCAACGCCAACCACTGACCCAAACATGTAATATGTATCTTTGAGAACAAACTGCCCAAGTAAAATCTTCAGACAAAATCCAAAATCCCAGTCTGTTTTTCTGGAAAAACAAAGAACTAATGCTAAAATTGTATTCCAATCAAGACAACCTACTTCCATGTTTTCTGAAATGTGCCCTCACAAGATACTTAATCTGCCCGGTGGGTTTAAAAACCTGGTGTCTAAATTACCATTAAAGACATTACTTCAGAATGTAGACTTCCAATCATTTGAAATTATTGATAATACATCTTTTTCAGGTATGGTTTCTTGCTCTAAACATTTTTTTGGGGGCATACATAGGACTTAAACAAAGCTTTTCAAGAGTTCCATTGGGAAGCTGAAAAGCAGAAAGAAAACAAAAAACAAAAACAACAAATCTGAATTGGTTTGAAATGAGTGGAGCCACCCAGTGGCTGGAGGACACGTCTATTAAGAGTGGTGACCACGGACATCCTTCCAATATGCCCCTATCCCCTCACAGGAAAAAACAAAACAAAACTGATTAAGATCCGTAGCTCAGACCCACGAGAGATCTCCCTATTTTAACTGCACAAACTAACAGCATGCAAACATAAGAGAAACGAGAGTGTGTATGTGTGTGGCATTTAAGCCAGTTTGTCAGCTTGCAGAAATCAAGCCAATCCATAGAACCATCTACTTTATGCACTTCTGTTCCAAATTACACTCGGATTTCAGGTAACGCAGCCCCATCGAGCGCGTGTCAAACGCGGTTTCTTTCTGGGAAAGGTCTAGCTTTCATGGTTTTCAAACCATTAGCCGGCACGCAGCAAACAGGGGAAGGGGAAGGAGGAAAAAAAAAAAAAAAAAGGCAAGCCAGGAAGCACGATCCCAGAAGCTAGGTGTCCAGTGCACGCACACAACACACACACATATCGTTCCAACACCGAGGGAATCACAGCGCTACAGCAGCGGGCAGGGCCGCTCACTCAACAGGAACCTCGCGGTTCTGGCCAGCTCGCTCCTGTTGCTCCCGGCCCAGGAGCAGGCAGCCCCAGGCGCAGCCCGCCGCGGGGACCCGGGGTAGGGATCCCCCTCCGGCATCCCGCTCGCCCCTACCGACGCCTGGAGGAGGTCGGGCAAGCCCGGGCTTGAGCGGCGCCGCCGCACAGCCGCGAGGTCCGCAATCACGGGTTCGCGGTGGCGAGCGCGGGCGGCCACCGAGGCCATCTTGGGGAGGCCCCGGGCGCCGGGTCCCGGTCCCCGGCGCCCCGCCCCGGCCACGTCCACGACGGCCGCGCGGCTTCTCGGAACAAAGGCCGCAGGGGTCGCACGCGCTCAAGGCGGCTTGTCGGCCCCGCCGACCGCTCCCGGTCCGGGTCCCGTTGCCGGCGCCCCCGCCCGCCCGCCTCCGTCTCCGTCTCTCTCCCTCCCTCCCCACACAGCCGCCCCGCTCTAACAAAGGCCCGGGCCGCGGTACTCACAGGAATATGTCTACTCATTGAAGATTGTGGCCTAATCATACAGCCGGTCCCGAGGCGGCGCAGGCGGCGGCGGCAGGGCAGGCGGCGGTGGGCGTCGCGGGGCGGCGGCGGCGGCGGCGATGCAGGCGGCGGGGGCACCAGACGACCATGCAGTGAGCTGCCCGAGGAGCGTCGCCGAGCCGGCCGCAGCCCAGAGCCAATGCGCGCGCCCAGGCGCCCTTGCGTCACAAGCCCGCCTCTTTATAGCCGGCGCGACGTGCGCACCGGCGGCGGCCAATCACGGGGCGGGACGCCAGCGGCGCGGGGCGGGGCCCGGGGCGCCGACGTCACTCGCGGCGGCTGCCGCCGGTGCGAACCGGTTGATGAATGGCGCGCCGTGCGCGCTGGTCGTCGCTCACTAAAACGCGCTCGCCGCTGTGGCTCCTCGAGTTCGCTTCAACTTGGAACGCGGCTCCGGCAGGCGGAGCCCCCTCCCACCCTCCCCGCACCCCCCCCCCCCCCCCCCGGTCGCCCGAAGCCGTAGCTCGGTCGCGCCGGCCAACGGTTTACCTTGGCACCTGCGCCCCAGGATCTCCGTCATCACCCCATATTGATGTCGCATGACCGCCGGGCGGGTGACTCACCGCTCCAGTGCCCGGCCCGCCCGGCCCCAGGCTGGGATGAGGGATTCTGGTCACCACCCTCCCTCCACGTGGGAAGGCTCTCCGCAGAGTTTAGCCCTTGGGACGCGGGAAGAGTCTGTATTTTTTTTTTTTTTTTTGAGGCTTGTTGCTTCCCGACCCTTTCTCTTAGGTTACACCCCCAAACTGCTGATGCTGGTAACTGCAGTTGGCAAGATTGTGGCATTTCGAAATCACATGCATCCTTTCTTTGTACAGGCTGCTCACTCACAGATAATGAAAGGTTTGCCATCGCTAAGGGAAAGCCTTTTTTTTTTAAAAACTAAGAATCTTCGGCTTTATCAAGGACTGATTTATTTATTTATTGCGTCAAAAGCTAAGCTTCTCATTTTGCTCATCTCCAGTCCTCTGTTCCAGTGTCCTCTCTGAATCTAGGCCTCTAAGTGAAGCTGTAGCACAATTGTTTCTGTGTACACGGGGCAGCTTTCATCATGTGAAAACCCTTTCTGCTCAGCCGTTGAGGACTGGTAAACAGGACCTTTACCTGCTTTGAAGAACACGGCTTTCCAGTAACACTGAAGCCCTTTGCTTCCTGTTTTCCCCGCACTTTAGACTGGAGAAACAAGAATCAAGTTGTGCCCTCTCCCCGTGTACTGCATTTTCGGATGTATTTGGCATTTCTATTTAGAGACTCTGCATAGTTATTCAACTTTCTTATAAACATACACACTGTTAAGTAAAGTAAGTGCTTTTGAAAAAAAAAAACAGGCTAGACCTTGAAAGCAACAACAACAAAAAGTAACTCTTATTAAAACTTGCTTGCTTGGGGATCCATTTAACTCAAGGCAGCTTGAGACATATCTCCCTTTACAAATATAGGTAAAATGGGGTGATGTTTAAATTATGTAAGTCCTGAGAAAATACAGGAAGATTAAAAGTCTTGGAATGGGAAAGTAAAGTGGATCAGACCAGGAAACCCAACAGAAGACAGATTCAGTATTATGGAATTAAAACCTTTCATATGACCAGTGACTTCGGGTAAGTATTAACCTCAGCTTGGGGAAAAATACGGGCAGAATCAATTAGTGAATAGCTTGGCCACTTTGTATAATAACATACTTAGACATATTAAATTGGCCCCTCTTACTCCAAAGGTTGGTCAACACAGTGAAACAGGATAATGAAACCTTTTGGAAAGGGGAATTTGGTGAGCTAAAATAGCTCAACAAATAGTAAGCAAAGGTAAGTCAGTGTTTTAGGTAGTTTTCTTGTGGAACTAGTGATGAAATTATGAGCTGAGTAGTCCACAGATCCTGTAATTACTGCAGGTAGTGCCAATGTGTCTATTCAGTTAGCTGTCATTGAACACCAGAAGCAGGGCTCGGACTCATGGGAGGACTAACAACTCTTGGGGTCTTATCCTTTGACAAGGAAGTACCTACCACCTCATCCTATCTTCAGCTGAAAGACTGCATCTTAAACCAGATAGAGACTTGTTGGCCCATCCAGTAAATTCTCAGAAGGCCTGTCCTTTTGGCAGCTGCTCACTTGGTTTTCTGTGCTGCAGTGGTTATCAGTGTGCAGAGGGTGACTGTTCTAGTCATGGGGTAGTTTGAAGCCTGCTGATTCTCAGGAATAATCCATCCCAGCATTGAGCAAGGAGATCCCCGTGGAACAAATTAATATAGGCCTTCCCCATTTGTTCTTGGAGCATTAAGTACCTCTATGTAACAGGCTCGTAAATACTGGGCCAGACTTTAAGAGAAGAAAGAAAATAACATTGAAAAACTAGTGTTTAGACTCCAGAATCCCTAAATGGAAGACAACCACTTCTGCAAAACAAGATGCCCACTGGAAGCTACTTAACAAAGCTCATCCTTTGAGCTTTTATCAGCATATTCCAAATGTAAACAACAATACCTATAAGATCATTGAGATAAAACTGGGCATTTGTGGCATACGCCTTTAATCTCAGCACTCCAGAGGCAGAGGCAGGTGGATCTCTGTGAGTTCGAGACCACCATGGTCTACAAGTACTAGTTCCAGGACAGCCTCCAAAGCCACAGAGAAACTCTGCCTTGGAAACAACAACAACAACAACAAAAAGATAATGGGGATAGGAATATAAAAGGTACGTATGGAAGATTAAGGACCTCAGAAGGCAACAGATCAAATCCAGCGATAAAGGGACAACACATCCACAAACAATGAATTCCATTTGTGCCAAGTATATGAAAGGAAGATTTCACAGTTGTCAGATCATGTGAGGCCATGAAAGAGACTGACAGCACTCACATAGCAAGATTGTTGCACTGAAAGTTCACACATCACGCTATCAACCTAGAACACTAAGGTATGCACGAATCAAGTATATTTGGTATGGGAAAATGGATAAAGCTGATAAGTGTTTGAATATTTGGGCAGAGGATGAGCTCCCATTGCTGTTTTTAAGAAAGGTTTAAAAAAACCTGGATAAACAGCAATGGGCACTATCTGTATTGTTTAGAGTAACATATTAAGGTGAAAAACATAGTACACTTAAATTTTTAATGAACATATGTTAACTAAAAGTTAAAACATGCCCTATGGTAACCATTAGGGTTTTTTTTCTTTTTCACACTGGGCCTGTAACCTCAATTATTTGGAGATTTAGGCCAGAGGATTCAGAGGTCATACTGTCTTTAAACCCAGAAACAGCCCTTAATTCCAGCATTCAGGAGACAGAGGCAGGCAGATCTTTGTTAATTCAAGGCCAGCCTGGTTTGTAGATCCGAGTTCAAGGACAGGCTCCAAAGCTACAGAGAAACCCTGTCTGGAAAAACAAAAAATGAAACCAAAACAGCACAGCAAAAGAACTATGTTGGAGAGATGGTTCAGTGGTTATGAGTTAGTGCTGGGGGCTAGAGAGATGGCTCAATGGTTAAGAGCACTGGCTTCTCTTCCAGAGGACCTGAGTTCAATTCCCATCACCCACATGGCACCTCACAGCTGTCTGTAACTCCAGTTCCAACAGATCTGGCATTCTCACAGATATATGCACCAATGCACATAAAATAAAAAAATAAAAATATTATATATATATACATACATATACATATACATATACATATACATATATATATATATATATATATATATAATAGTAAGTGCTGCCCATCTAGAGGACCTGGATTTGGTTCCCAGCATGTGTTAGACAGCTTACCATCTTTTTTTTTTTTTTTCCGAGACAGGGTTTGTATTGTTTTGGAGGCTGTCCTGGAACAGAGACCAGGCTGGCCTGGAACTCACAGAGATCCGCCTGCATCTGCTGGGATTAAAGGCGTGCACCACCAACGCCCAGCTGCTTACCATCTTCTTTAACTATGGATTCAGAAGACTCCCTCTTCTAGCTTCTGCAAGTGTCACACAAATACACACAAATACACAAAAGAAAAGCTGGGAATATGGCTCGGTGGACAGCAAGGCATTGGGTTCTACCCCCAGTACTGCAAAAAGGAAAAAAGAAAAGGAAATAGGACTAGTCAAAGATGTTTTGATAGATTAAAAACAATACTATGTCAAAATTTCTGTAGGAATTTTAGCAACTTCCAGCGAGGAGCTAAAGTTTGTTGCAATAAACTTTTCAAGAGATCTCACCTTAAGAGAAAGTCTAGAGGCTAATAGGTATATGTAGGCTATTGTGTTTTATATAGAGTCAGACAACACAGAAACTTGCAGTCATATAGAAGATCATTATAGGTACAAATATTCATGAATGAGCTCTGGTGGATCATTATTAAATATCTTTTTGGGTTTTATGGCTTCTGTATTGTTTGTTTTTGAGATAAGGTCTTCTCATATGATGAAGACTGGCCTCAAACTCACTCTGTAGCTGAGAATGGCCTTGAGCTCCTGCTCTTTCTTGTTCTACCTCCCAAGTAGTAATATTCCAGGTATGCCTCAGCAAGCCTGGCTGCAGAAAAGATATTAACTTGTCAGATACAGTCACTAGAGGTAATAGTTTCTCTCTAAAATTAAACTGAGTCAGAGATTCAAAGTTTTTAAAAAAGTTAAAATTCTCTTTAATTTGTATGATAGGCATTTTTTTCTCCTCTCAAATTTAAATGTCTTGGGTAATCTTCAAACCAGATGAAAATATGTTTTAATTTTAACAGCTTCCTTGGGAGTTCAGTGTGCACATTAAGAAGTGACAGGACAGATTGGTCAACAGAATAGTATTTTTCACTTTGTGACCAAATAATTTCCTTCAGGCTGAATAAGGACTTATTATGGCCCCAAATAATTCAGCATTTTCATATCCTGTGGTTCACATTCTGGTACCTGAGGAAATCTAGTTTGAGAAGTCTTATTTTTAGAAAACCTGGCAAAATTTTTCCTTGTGGTTCTGTAGCCTGAATACAAATCATTTGGGAATTGGAACTCTGTAGGGCTATAGTTTCCATGTGACTGTCTAGAGCATGTTGAATTATGCCAGTTTGAAAGGAAGCAAAAAATAGCTTAGAAAAGGAGAATTTAATCTGTCTGGAGGAAAGAAACGAAGTATAACTAAATGTTAAAGGTTGTCTGTGCGTGCTCTGGCCAGGCTGGCACTTGACATATTTAATCGACAGAGTTGGCATTTAGGCTGTAGATAATCCAGACAGACACTGACCGAAGCACCATCAACAGCCTTACATAAGAACATCACACTGTTCTTGATCTGTTTCCTGCAGACACAGGAATGTTCAGGCTTTTGAAAGCTACAGAGACCATACTTTTCTCTGACTAACACAGGTGCCATTTGCTTGGGCAGGATGAGAAAACATTGCTACCTGGGTACTCTGTTAATTACTGTAGGACACTGAGTAAGGGAAACCAGTGCAAATACCTCTGAAGGTTTTGAAAATGTAAAGAAAGTTCTCATGTTGTGAACTTCTTTCTTTTGAGACAGGTTCTCACTGTGTAGCCCTGACTTATTTGAAACTGATCTACCTACCTCTGCCTTCCAAGTGCTGGGATTAAAGGTATGTGCTACAACACTGGTTAATTATTGATTTCTTAAATTCTTAAATTGTTAATTCACATAGCAAATACTAAATATTTAGATATTATCAAGTAATTTTCCACCTAAAATCCTTTTTTGTACACCCATTTTTTTTGTTTTCCCAAATATCCTTTGCACACCTTTAATCCCAGCACTTGGGAGGCAGAGGCAGGCAGATCTTTGTTAATTCAAGGGCAGCCTGGTGTGTAGATCCGAGTTCAAGGACAGGCTCCAAAGCTACAGAGAAACCCTGTCTGGAAAAACAAAAAACGAAACCAAAACAGCACAGCAAAAGAACCATGCTGGAGAGATGGTTCAGTGGTTATGAATCTCTGAGTTCGAGGCCAGCCTGGTCTACAGAGCGAGTTCCAGGATAGCCTCCAAAACAATACAGAGAAACCCTGTCTTGAAAAACAAAAACAAAGCAAACAAACAAAAAAAAAACCCCAAATGTCCTTTGCAGCCTTCCTCTTTAACAGGGTGTTCATCAGGGTTTGATCATAGCTAGGCCCTCTGGCTTCATCCTCTGCTCAAGATAGAATTTTCATCCCTTTGGCTATCAAACATTTCCCACCCCAACCCTGCTAAAGAGTCTGGACTTCATCTGGAGTTGATGGAGTTATTGGAAGATTCTGAGTAATAGTGAAAGATCAGATATTTTTAGAATATTGCAAAAACAAAAGTCACTAAGCTAAACAATTACATTTATAACAGTAAATATGATAGGAGGGAGAGGGAGCAGAACATTCAGAAGTGGAATGAAAGGGGCAGTTTCTGCCTTCTGAGTTCTGGCTTAAAGGCATGTACCACTATGCCTGGCTTGGCTTCGGTTTGGCTCTATGCCGGGGATGGGAAGTTGCTCCCTAGAGAGCTTTTTAGCATATACAAGTTTAGTTGGGTCTCCAGCAACAAAACCAAATTATAACTCTGTAAAGCCCTCAGTAGGGCCAGGTGTGGTGGAACATACCTTTAATCCTAGCACTCAGGAAGCAGAGGCAAGCAGACCTCTCTGAGC